AGAAGCTTCTACAAGAAGGATAAATAATATAAGAATACCAGATCACAAAGCTTTAAATATTAAATCTTGAATGTACTGCTCATGTTTTAAAGAAGGATTTTTTATATAGTTAATGGATTTTTATGCGCTTAATTTAGGGAAAGAACGAATTCATTTAAAAGAAAAATTAATCTCATATAATTTTCCAAATGTTAAGATGTAAATTTTGGAATAACTGCGCATGATTAAAAGAGATTTTTTGGTGGCGTTATGTTCATCGGCGAATTGATCGATGGCGAAACGTTCTTTGGTGAAATGACCCATTCGGTGTAATGATTGGCGTTGAAATGACCCGCTTCCGTTACAGAGAACATTATAAAGGGTTATACGGTCAAAATTTGGTCAATATCAACTTGACGTATTTCTTTCAATTTTGCATTTAAAAAACCTGAACACCCCTCATTTTGAAGGTGTGTGTGTGTAGAATGTTGCTCCTATTTTGATTTTGGAATTCACTCTTCAGTTGTCAAAATGCCGTCCAAGCAAGAAGAGCAGCGTATCAAAATTTTGCTCGCGCATCGCGAAAATCCGAGCTACTCGCACGCAAAGTTGGCAAAATCGCTAAAAGTTGCCAAATCAACCGTTACAAATGTAATTAAAGTGTTTGGGGAACGTTTGTCGACAGCCAGGAAGTCTGGATCGGGGGGAAATCGAAAACCGGAAGCCGCTGAGACGACAAAGAGAGTTGCCGGTAGTTTCAAGCGAAACCCTAACCTCTCTCTCCGAGATGCCGCAAATAAGCTGGGTGTATCGTCTACAACCGTGCATCGAGCAAAAAACGAGCCGGACTATCGACTTACAAGAAGGTAGTGACTCCAAATCGCGATGATAAACCAAATACGACGGCCAAAGCGCGATCCCGGAGGCTGTACACGACGATGCTGACGAAGTTTGACTGCGTGGTAATGGACGACGAAACCTACGTCAAAGCCGACTACAAGCAGCTTCCGGGACAGGAGTTTTATACGGCAAAAGGAAGGGGAAAGGTAGCAGATGTTTTCAAGCACATGAAACTGTCAAAGTTCGCAAAGAAATATCTGGTTTGGCAAGCCATCTGTACCTGTGGCTTGAAAAGCAGCATTTTCATAGCTTCCGGGACTGTCAACCAAGAAATTTACGTGAAAGAGTGTTTGAATAAACGTCTGCTGCCTTTCCTGAAGAAACACGGTTGTTCCGTACTGTTTTGGCCGGATTTGGCATCTTGCCATTACGGTAAAAAGGCCATGGAGTGGTACGCCGCCAACAACGTGCAGGTGGTTCCCAAGGACAAGAACCCTCCCAACACGCCAGAGCTCCGCCCAATTGAGAAATACTGGGCTATTGTCAAGCGGAACCTAAAGAAGACCAAAAAAACTGCTAAGGGCGAGCAGCAGTTCAAGGCAAACTGGCTTTCTGCGGCGAAGAAGGTGGACAAGGTGGCTGTACAAAATCTGATGGCAGGGGTCAAGCGTAAGGCCCGGCAATTCGGATTTGGAAAAGCGGAAGCCTAACTGAATATTTTTCCTGAATTTTATACTAATTGAACTTGAAAAAGAAATTTAATTTGATTTTTTAAATAAACGATTTCACCGATTTACACGCGTTTTCCCTTGACCAAATTTTGACCGTATCACCCTTTACAGACATTGGTAAAAAGTTACACATGTCCACAAATAAGATATGTGCGTGAGGAATTGCTTCTTTTTTATATCCAGTGTTATTCAAATGGGAGCTAGGTAACGGGGTACCCCATCACGCACATAATGGTTAATCAGATATCGCACAAAACGGCGAGAACTTTTCCAATCTGAAGTGATGTCTCAGAGAAAACCAAATTTTTCAAATTTTTATTTACTCACTAGGTCACTTTCACCTTGATGCGCAGCATTGGAAGCATGATGGCACATAACATCCCAGAATTAGTAAAGGAAAAGCAACGAGAAACCGTGCTGAACCATTTTACCCAGGGGTGCATTATGAACTGTTCTCCCCCTACGCCTTGAATAAATCGTGTAGAGAAAACGGTAGTAAAAACGATATTGATAACTTGCTGCAGAAAATATTCGCTTGGTGATTTGATTACGGATTGACAATAAAAAAGCTATGAAAAACCGCGCAGGGCCATTTTACCCCAGGGCAGGGGTGCATTTTGGACTGTCCCGACAGTCTTCGGCGCATGAAGTAGTTCGCCTCCTCGTGGTGTGCCCTGGAAACGTTAATTATCGAACCCAAGGGAGAGATATTGTGGCTAAACGAACTACCGCAGAGTAAGGACGCTGGAACCCCATCCAGCTCGTTCCAGGAGGTCGATAAGCCCTGCACAAACCCTCGTTGTGCAAAGGCAGGAGTGACACCGGGTTCTTAGAGTGCTTAGCACACGCAGCTGGTAAGCGGTCACGTCTGTCCTGTTTGGCCCTGGACAGTTGGCTGGCTATCACGTCTGCTCTAGAACTCAGGCGAACAACTAACAGCGAACAACAAGAGGAAGGCCCTGCACAGCTGCTCACGTCTGTCACATCTGACACAACACTAGCGATGCGCCATAGCGCAACCGGCCCCCTCCCATGACGTAATGCTTTCGGGCGGTTCCGGGGAGGGCACGGGCCTAGAGCACAGGGTAGGTTTAGTGGGTCGGGAGTGCTACTTCTCCCCACACCCTGAGTTATCTTCTCAGGTGTCTGGGAGCAGATTCCCCCCTGTATAAAAAAAAAGACAGTCTTCGGCGCAACCCAAAGCTATTCTGGTCGTTTGTGAAGACAAAAAGGAATGAGAATGGGCTACCGGTTGAAATGCATCTAGGGTAAACTCAATGAATTATTGTATGCCATAATTAGTAGTTGAATATTATGATACTTTTTTTTTGTCGAAATTTGCCTCCCTAACTCGATGGACTTATCAATGTCTATGTTGAGAGAATTGATGCTTTTCCATGATGCACATGTTATCATAAGGCTCACTTGAGCTTCACTGGCTCATAATGTTTTTCGGGACATTGTTTAAGACTCCATTGGGCCAGTAGATCTTCAAAAAGTAAACTCCAGAATAGTTTGGAGAGCGTTCCATGATGTGCATGTTGTCAAAAGGCTCTCATCAGTTCACGAACTCACAAAGATATTCAAAACATTGTTCGAGACTTTATTGAACCTGTAGAACTTCAAGATCTAAGCACCAGAATACTTTGGAGATCATAAATATGTTATTGATACCATGATGTGTATGTTGTCAAGAAGCTCTCTTGAGCTTCGTGGACCTTGAAGATGTTTAGGACATTGTTTAAGGTTCCACTGCACCAGTAGATCTTCAAGAACTAAGCTCCATAATAGTTTGGAGAGCATTAAATATCGTATTAATACAATTCCATCCATATACGGAGAATGAGCGGATAAAGGACGAAGAGGAGACCAAGATGGATAGCACTGGCAAAGCAAACATAAATAGACGAAAATACAAGGAATGGCAAGCACGGAAGAAAGCAGTAGCTAAACTGAATTCGTCTCCCAGAAAAAAGAAACCTCATGCTTTTTTTTTTTTAATAAAGCCTTAATAAATAAACGATTGACAAAAAAGTATTGGCACAATAATACAACGTAGAGTTAAGATTTAACTTTCGGCCTACTATGTACAACCCGCACTTTACCTATCTTTTTTGAAACGTTTTTTTTTCACAAAATAACATGTCCCTACTACAGATGACTTTTAAATGTATTTACCTTTCCATATGTGCCGTTGGATTTGTTAAAGAGCCGTACATTATTTATAATTTGTTAAAAATCGACACTGCTTCATTAATTTCGTCCCAATAGGATTTACTTTGTCATACGAATGAGTAATTATATTGATTTGGAGAACAAAAGACTGTAAATATTCATACTTTGCGTTCTTGAAGACTTTTTTTATGTAGCTTTTGAACTATAGTGTCGTACAAAACTGAATCGTTTAGATATATTTGATGTTCTGCCCAATAGTACGAAAATGAGCGATTTAGGCCGAAGTAAATGTTAACTCTATAGCTATATTGTATACAAATGTGAGGTTTTAAATTTCAGATATAGTGAAATGGCATCTAACCTAAGGGGTGAACTATGATCTAAATTATTCATTTAAAATGAAACATTGCAAGCAAGTTAATGTAAATTGTATTTGTTTAACGATCGGTTATCCGAATCTACAGAAAACTCTTCATTGAAATAATGAATCACAATTAAAAGCTACACTCAAAAGATTTATCACATATCAAATAGAAAAAGTTCATGTGAATTTCACATAGTTTTCCGGTAATCACATAACTGCAAATCCCATCACAAATGATCGCAGAAATGTTATAAGAAAGTCAGATGAATTTAATTATTTTGTTAATGGATGAAAAATCATGTGCGATTCCAACGGAAGCTACATAAAAACTCTTTTCGTTGTAGCACTTTTGTTACAATGTTACGTTTCTCTGCACAACGTTTGTTTTCACTCCATCGATACATATAACAAAAAAATACAAAAAAAAAGGAAGAAGATTTATTCGCTATTCATTTGGATATAATTTTCCTTATTGTTGTATGCCACTGTCTGTCAATCAAGGCAGCCACTGGCAAGCGGTCAGAGACACTACAATTATCGAACGTCACCTTATATTTTCTGTGTTGTGGAAACTATTTTCCACTTCAGTTTAAACTTAAACAGATGATTTTAACAAGCCGTAGTATGTATTCAGCTCCACCACGTACGTACATACCAACATTTCCATTACTGAGTCTCAATTTTGTTTGTTTTGCTTCATGCCTACCTACTCTGCTTCAATCTGGCAGTGCAAACCGTCTGCTCACGAATTCCTTACTATTGCGATTTGTGTTGGGTCCCTGAGTTGGCTGTAACGACTCAAATCTACAACATCGAGCATAGACCACAACAGTCAGGTTTTTTTCTTATGATCCGAGCTGTCTTTGGCAAGTTTGGCCACCATGAGGTGGGCTTGGCATACCGTCATCAGTCAGTCGCTTCCAAGACAGCCATGAAGCCATAGAAGAGCGATCGCCGACCGTTGTTCGTAGTGTAATGAGCTCACACGTGTGAAAGAAGTAAATAATTAGGCGGGGATTTAGTACGCGTGTACTATTTTTTGGTGGCCACCGTAGAACGCCGTAGTTTTGAGCACGCGATCGAGTTGAGTGAGTCGCAGTTTTGTATTTGTGTGCGAAGGCAACTCACGTCTCAAACTGATGGGCTGGGGTTTCTCAGTTCACTACGCTCGCGGTTTTACTCGCAGATTGTCACACGATCGCTACGAATGTGTGGTGGATGTCGCGCTCGCTCGCTGGTTTTTGGTGACTGATTTGTGTTGAATATCTGAGCTTCAGGATTTAATTATACTCGGTATTTGGCGGTGAGCGGATCGTTTTCTTAGTTTGGTGCCGTAAAGGCTTTTCTGTGCTACGGCGACTTTTCATATTTTTTATATGTTCTAACCTTCTTGATAGTGGTGTCGAATTGTGATCATACAACGGGCCCATTATTGTTCTACGTTTATCTTTCGTCAAGTAATCGCTGCATGTGATCGGGTGTAAATTATGCGGTCCATGATTGTTCGGGAAGTGATTGTATAGTGAAGTGACCAATGGAAGATTATTGAAGCGATCAATGTGATTTTTTGAAAAGAGAATCCTTGTATTCTATTATATGTGTATTTGGAGCAGACGATAATAACACTTGGATATCAAAACAACACACCCCAGTTTTTGCTGATTCTTCAACTAGGAGACTTGGTGTTACGAGAAAAACAGCAAAGCGCACCTTTTTTTGTTTTAAACGAAGGAAGTAAGTGATTTTTTTTTGCATTTATTGCCGGTACATAGGAGAGTAGCCTCATTCATTTTTTTTTCGCTATAATCACCTTGAACAAGTGTTTGGACTCGTGCATTTTGAAGCATGAAGCCTTTATGTAAAAAAGTGTACACCAAGATATTTATGCAACTTTTTTTAACATAGACAATTATCTATTTACCAATTCAAGGAGACTCCAAACAGAAAGCTTTCTGAGAGACTTGTATCATAAGTGAATCATGACAAGAAGTGAGAAACCCAAAATCTTGGATGGATACGGAGAGAAGCTCTTGAAAGTGAAATGATTGTTAGGCTGTACTTATGTAACCTGCATCCTCTTCATTCGTTTCACACATATTTATCGTGTGTATAATTCAATTAACATACTATCGAGCTGCATGTTGATAGTTGCGTTATTTGCGACGATCGGTCGTGGATGACGGCAATAGGAAACGCCTTCCTATTCATTTGGTTTTATAGCATGCTGCAGATGGTATCTCACAGTGTCTTTGAAAAGCAGACAGTCACGATCATGTACACCATACCATTCATAAAATGAACTTGATCTTCTCTCGAAGTCCGTCGCGAACCCGATTTGCAGCGACTTTTGCTTTTATTTTCCACGTTTCCTTTTCCCCTCGCATACTGTTGCGAAATCGGACCGGCACGTGCTTTATGTTTTCTATTTTTTGTTTACTTTTGAACATTGATTATGTGATGATTCAATCGATTTAGAAAGGTGAAACTGTAAATATGTTGCTTTTCGGTTTGCAGGTTGAAAAACAAACGTACAAACAAATCATGCCGCAAGGTCGAAAGAAGCAGATGCTATCAAGTTCAAATGCGTTCCTTTATTATAGTGAAAAAAAAATCAACGAAAATCATAAAAAATGAGGTGAACTATGGTAAAGAAAAATCTTTCGAAAAAAGGCCACGGACAAATGGAAATGTTTTTTTTTTCTTCTCTATACATTCATCTCAAAAGAGAACAGTAGTTGAATGAACATTCATTTGAACTAACGAATTCGATTGGATGTTCACCTTGCCAGATCAAGCAGAATCGAATGGATTATGCATGTCGAGTAAGTTCCAAAAGTTCACGGTTGGGGAGAAAATTCCGGTTTATTGACGTCAATGCTTAGTTTTCCGTTCCATCAGCGTCATTTGCATTTTTAATATTAAATCATCCTCTTGCTCGATATAAAGTATATAATATGAATACAGACAAATTTTATTCCTTCTCGATTATGGAATCACGAAATTTTTAGGTATTTGCGTTCATAGGATTTATTTTATACAAAGCTTTAAGTTGTTTTTATGTAAAATCTTTTCTTAGCATTATATACACAAAACAAAGGACACAATTAATTTGGATCGTGTATTTTTGGAAAATCGTGGAAGCATCGTGTTGCCAAAATGCGATCTCGCTGAAATATGTTGATCAAACACCGCTTAATCTTGTTTAGCAGTCGACTTACGCTTCTGACTTATCAACAGTATCCGAATGCTTTTCCATGATTTAAAATGTTTACGTTGTACTGACCTAGCCCGCCTTTTGTGGGGGTAAATTTAAAGAGCTAGGACCTCACAAGTTGAATTGTTTAACAAATGTTGTATCAATGGTTGGAAAGATTATCTATTTATTTAACATTTACATGAACATTTGGATTATATTGGTTGAAAAATCAGTCGGTGAAGTTGAGCTATAAGAAATATTTTCTTTGATTTTCAAGAAAAAAATATTTTGCTAAAAAAAGCTATTAATTTCAAAACAAAAATTCGATCGTAATAATCTTTAAACTGAACATATTTTGCTGAATTTTTTACCAGTATTGCCTCGTGAGTTTAAGTTTCATCTGATCAAGTTTGTATGAAATTCGTGAGAAAATTAAAAAAAGAACTTTTATTTTATACAAATATTGCAAAATTAATCTACTTAAAAAAGGATCATTTAATAAATTGTCTTTTTTATTTTGGCCTTTCGAAAGAGGCCAGTTCCACGTTCCATTGATGAATCTATTATATTTTTCCTCTCGAATTCTATGAAACTTTGCCTAATTATTCACTAGGGGAAATGAACCAAGTTTGTGCCGCTGAGTCGCAATTTACGCGGTACGTTTTTAACGATTTCTCGACAACGATACGACCTATCTACTTGATTCCAATCACATTATCCGTTTCAAACTATAGGTAATCGAATGGAATACTTTTAAAAAATCACAATTTTTGGTGTAATTACTGAAATTTTTAAAATATGTCTATATGGACCATAGCATGCTATAATAACGAATGGCATCAAAATCCGATTTATAAAAAAATATTTAAGCATGTGAAAAATCAAGAGTTCATAGTCACACTAGCCCTCTCGGTAATGTACCGGTGCCCCCGGGGAAGTGGCCAATTCTCAACAAGAACTAAAACTCATCGTGCGACATATTAAATTTCATGATTTGACAAATCTTGGCCAGTAATGGCTTTATTGAGAGTCCATGGTCACACTAGCCCTCCCAGACATGTTCCGGTGCCCCCGGGGAAATGGCAAATTCTCAACAAGAACCAAAACCCATCGTGCGACATATCAAACTTCACGATTTGACCAGTAATGGCCTTATTGAAAGTCCATGGTCACACTAGCCTTCCCGGGAATGTTCTGGTGCCCCCGGGGAAGTGGCCAATTCTCAACAAGATCCAAAACCCATCGTGTGACATATCAAACTTCACGATTTGACAAATCTTGGTCAGTAATGGTCTTATTGAGAGTCCATGGTCACACTAGCCCTGCCAGACATGTTCCGGTGCCCCCGGGGAAGTGGCCAATTCTCAACAAGAACCAAAACCCATCGTGTGACATATCAGTTCAGTTGTGCGGCATAATCACGTCAGTAATGGAAAATTCACTGTTGATATAGAGAAAATTAATACGCCTAAAGATGCGTTTGAAGTGTTCATGGACCGCAGTATTATTGAAACTATTGTAAAATACACGAATGCGGAAGGTGGCCATGACACTTTATTCAAGCCTGTAAATATAGATTCAATGCATGCGTTTATTGGAATCTTGATTGGTGCTGGGAAATTAATACTCGGGAGCTATGGTCAAGTGAGGAGCTTATTACACGCGTATTTTATTCTGCCATCATGAGTCGAAACAGGTAGTTGTTGACTAAAATTAAGTTCCTTGTTGATTAAATTATGTTTCGTGTTTAGATTTCAGCATATATGCCGATATATTCGGTTCGATGATTCGTTGTCAAGACGACCTGCCCGATCTAGCAGCGAAACTAGCCAAATCTACAGCACTAAACTTAGATTCTGGACGGCCAACCCTGGCAACCGATCGATTGCGACTGATTCGCCCAATAACTGAAAAAATCCGAGAAAATATGTGTAGCTCTTACATTCCTTCTATGGATTTGACTGTAGATGAGCGAATGATTCCTTTCCGCGGTAGATGTGCCTTCAGCGTCTACATGAAAGGAAAACCATGTAGATACGACATAAAAGTTTGGGCTGCAGTGGATGCTCAAACTTCTGTTCTTACCAATTTTGACATTTATACAAGTTAATAATATGATCTTCTTGTGAATTAATTATTTTATTTGAATCATTTTATAACAAAATTGAGAACATTGTGTAATACACTGGAGTCGCTTTTCACGCGGGTGATACGTCCCGCGTAAAGAAAACCGCGTAAAAAAAGACCGTGTAAAAAAAACCGCGTAAAAAGCGACTCTGGTGTATAACGATAAACCGCGTAAATTCTAAAATCCGCGTTAAAAACCAAAATCATCGTAAAAAAACCGCGTAAATTCCGAAATCCGCGTAAAAAAAACCGTTTAAATTTTGAAATCCGTGTAAAAAAAAAACCGTGGCGCACTAGAAAATTACCGGGAGGGCTAGTGTGACTATGGACTCTCAATAAGGCCATTACTGCCCAAAATTTGTCAAATGATGAAGTTTGATATGTCGCACGATGGGTTTTGGTTCTTGTTGAGAATTGGCCACTTCCCCGGGCACCGGAACATTTCCGGGATGCCCAATGTAATCGTGGACCGTCGGTATAGCTACCATTGGTCCAATTACATCATTTGAGAGAAAAAACATGATGTCCATCGTGTGTATACTTATTACAGAACAGTAAAGCCAAATGCCGACCAAAAGTGACCCCAACGGGAACCGGAATAACTCCGGAACCATGTATTGATCCAAATATTTTCAGATAGATTCAAAAACTTCAATAGATTCCCAACAAAATGCAATTTGTTGTGAAGAAAAAGATTGAGAAATTATGTTTTTAGAGCTAATTGAATTTTGAAATCTATGCAAATTCAGACGTTAGGCACGCAAAGGTTAAATATGATGCATCAAACCGGAGTGTCATATATAGTACAAGTTTACATTATAGATCGTGTAAAATGAGATATTATGACAATGACGTTTCGAAGTGTTTGGAAGGAATTGGAATCAAGAAGCAGTGTTAGATTTTAAACAATATCTCAAAAAAATTTGACTCTTTATCAAATCCAACGTACGTATGGAAAGGTAAATACCATGTTTAGTTCAAAACCGGTCGCAAAAGTGAGCTAAATTTCGGGCCGTGCTTAGTATAACGGAAATTTTTTTCATATTAACAATATGCCTTTTCCATACCCGGCAATAGCGACCCGAAAAAAATATTGCTTCACGCACCATCTAGCGTTGAAAATAAAATAGCAATAATCATCGAGGGCGCGAATATAGCACTTATTACTAAAATAATTGTAAAATTATTTTCATTAACTACATCTTGAACATTACATGAAAATTTGCCTGACGTGCCACTGTTGTCATCTAATAAAATAATATGCTAAAAAACATACGTTTAGAATATACAAATTTTCATTTGGTTTATCCCACGTGGAGATAAAAAAAATGCATTGGTAGCCTTTTCGGTCACAGTGGCGTTTTCATCGCTAAAAACTCGGTTCACCGGATGAGCAAACAAGGACATCATA